TTATCTAACGGCGTTATAATCTTTCTGCCTAAAAATAACTCAGCAGGAGTTTTGCCCGTTGTATCATGTTTTGCGGTCCTAAGGGCGAAAGCTAATTCATTGACATAGTTATCCCAGCTTTTATGAAAATTTTTAACATAACTACGGATAATTTTCACTATATTTCTATTGACCCGTTCCGCTATATTTGATTGCGGCCGATACGGGACCATTTTTAAATGACGTATGCCCAGTTTTTGGCACATGTCTTCAAATATATTACTTACAAATTGAGGACCATTATCCGATATAACTTTTAGGGGCGCCCCGTATTTTAAAATATATTTATTTAAAATAGAATCAGTAACTAATTTCGCGGAGGCTCGTTTTAAGGGAACAATTTCGGTCCATTTACTAAAATGATCAACCATAACAAGGAGATACCGACTTTTATTTAACTGACTTTTTGGGAAAGGGCCCAATAAATCGATGCCAATTATTTCATTTGGAAATTCGGATTTAATACTATTTAGAAACCCGGCCGGGCGGAAATTAATATAATTAACTGCTTGACATGTTGGGCAGGACTGGACATACGCCTGGACATACGCCCTTGTTAACTTTTGCAGTTCAGGAAAATAAGAAAATAGACTGCTCGCGTACGCGTTGGATAGTTTTTCGAATACCAGCATGAGAAGCTAAAGGGCTGTCGTGTAACTCCTGCAGGATATTTAATCTAAGACTAGCTGGGATAACAGGTCGAAATTCGTTGTTGGAATTTGTATTCGTAGTTTTTGTATAAAATAATAGACCATCTATTAGTTCGTAATGGGCCGCCCTATTTCTTATCGCCACAATATCTTGGTGGCTAAAATTTTCAGGATCCTTTAAATACTCATAAATGTTTCAAATTCAGGATCCTTACCCAGTTCGGTTATTACAGTTTCTCGGGAATTTATTGTACATGCTGTGAGCATTGCCACCTTTACAGTATTACCTTCTTCATCTATTTTTATTCTGGATAGGGCATCTGCTACGATATTTTCCTTTCCGGGGGTGTGCTTGATTACCAGATTATACTCTTGTAACTTGAGTGCCCATCTTATTAACCTTGGGGATAAGTTTTTCCCTGAGTACAATCTAGTTACCGCCGCATGATCAGAATACACTGTTATTGGCGCCCTTCCAAAATAGACTCGGAACTTTTGCACTGCTAACAGAACTGCAAGTGCCTCTCTCTCGGTCGCGGAATAATTTCTTTGTGTTTGATTTAAAGTTCGACTAAAAAATGCCACGGGCTGCTGATTTTGCGAAAGTACCGCTCCTACCGCATAATCCGAAGCATCCGCTGAAATTTCTAAATTCTCATCCTTTTCAGGAAATTTCAAAACACAGGGGCTTGCGTTAATGCTTGCTTTAATTTTTCGAAAGCACTATTGGCTTCGGCCGTCCACGAGAATCTTGCCTTTTTCCTTTTTAATTTTAACAATGGTTCAGCAATAGCTGCAAAATCTTTTATAAAGGACCTATAATATGAACAAAGTCCTAGAAAAGAAGAGAGCTTCTTCGCCGTATTTGGCGGCGGATACTTTTGCACAGCGATTATTTTTGATTCGTCTGTCTCGATTCCTTTCTGAGATATTTTGTAACCTAAGTATTTTAATTCAGGGGCTGCAAATTTGCACTTTTCGACATTAACTTTTAGACCGGCCTCATTTAATAATGAAAACACCTGTCTTAAATCCTGTACATGTTGGTCCAGATTATCACTAGTAATAATGATATCGTCTAAATAGATAAATGTGGACTTTCCAAGAACAGGCCTTAGCACAATGTCCATACATCGCTGAAATGTGAAATGTTGCCGGTGCCCCTGAAAGGCCAAACGGCATACGCAGGAATGCATAAGTGCCAGACTTGGTTATAAAAGCAGTCTTAGGCACGTCCTTCGGTCTAACCCCTATTTGAAAATAACCAGTCGTTAAGTCTAAAGTCGTCATGTATTTGGTAGACGTTATGTTCCTTAGAATTTCTTCAATAATAGGTAACGGATATACCGGATATTTAGTCATGGAGTTTAATTTACGATAGTCAATCGCAAAACGCCACCTTTTTGGATGTGTTACTGGATAGTCATTGTTTTTCTTACATAAAACAACCGGGCTAGCATAACTACTTGAGATGGGCGTTATGATCTTTTTACGTAACATATCTCTAATGTGCCACTCTATAATTTTTTTCTTTATTCTTATCATACCGGTATGGTTTGTGGCGAACTGGCAGTGAATCTCCGGTGTCGATACTATGGTTAGTAACTTGAGTAAATCCTGGAATATCACTAAATAACGAAGCAAATTCACTTACCACTTGTCGGATTCTTCCTTGCTCGTCATTAGGCAGGTGGTCAAGGTTTAACATTGGTGGTTCTGTTTTTTCTTCTCGAACTGGTTTCATCGTCAGCTTAAGGGACGCTTCGTTAAAATCCAGCGTTGCTTCTGCCTCTGAAAGAAAGTCTATTCCTAAGATGACATGTGCTTGCAAATTCTTTACGATAAAAAAACATAATCTTTACTTGCTCGTCCTTGATACGAACGTATAACGGTAATTTACCTATGCACTTGCTCTTTCTCCCTGCGCAGCTAACACTGTCGTATTATCCGAATTATATATGCGGTATTTACGAAAATACTTCCTAAAAAATCTTCTGCCACACAGGAACACTGCGCGCCTGTATCCAGGAGTGCGGTGGCTGGGATGTTATTCACCAATACTTCAATCTTTGGAAGAGTCAAATTTTTCACCATCACTGTATTTAACTTGAAGGAAGAGGGGTTTTCTTGGCCTTCGGATTTCCGCACCCTCCCGTCAGCAGAAATCCGTTTTAGTTTAAATTATTTTTCATTTCCGTGCTTTCCTTCTTTTTCCACTGGCCTTGAGACTTTTTTCCTGGATTGCTATTGAACTGTCGACGTTCGCCGGCTGTTTTTGAATGCTCGGGTTTCCTTGCCCACTGATTCGCTTTGCTTCCGTAGCCGTGTGCTTGAGTTTGCTGTGGTCTTGGCGCACCAAATTGGTTTCGTTGTTCATACTGGCGTCTTCTTTCAATGTCCGCAGTTCTTCTACTTTCAAACTGGATTGCTAGCTCAAATAACTTTTCCAGTGTAGTCGGATTCCTTAATTCAATAAAGTCTTGTACTTGGGGAAGTAACCTCGGCAAAATCACTTGAATTATCTCAGGATCCGGACGGTTTCCATACAAGAGTTTGAAGACGTGAATTTTTCTTAAAATAAAGCTTGAGAGATTTTCGATTCGTTGCTGATATATGCTGAAAAGTTCCGCTTCTAATATTGCACGACCTCTTACGACCGGGAAGGCTTTTACTAAGGCAGTCTTGAAAATTTCGTAAGTATAGGTGGGACTTCCCGCTTGACCCAAGAGGCTTCTGCCGATACATTTGAACCAATTAAGCGCTTGGCCCCTCAAAGCGCTGGTAGATAAGGTGACTTTCTGGAACTCATGCACGGGATACAGCATGAAGTGGTCCTCCAATTTTTCCAAAAAACTGGTTACCGGTGAGTTTCCATTAAATGTTGCTTCTGGTTTCATCGATGCGCGCATGGTCTGGACGATGTAACCAAATCCTTCCAGGGCGGCAGCTGGCATTTCTGGATTCTGAGCCGCTTCTGCAGGCAGCACAGGTTCTTCTTGAAACTCGGCCATGGTTATTCTTCTTCGTCGGGCGCCACTATCAGGTTCAGCGTTCCTCCTTACTTGCTTTGGGAACATTAAATTACCTGACTCGAACAGGGAGCTTACTAAAGCTATGTTCAATAAATGTGGGAAGTAGACAAGATACACAGGAAGGGTATACGAAACCCTTTATTTTTCTCTCTTTACAACGATTTCCGGACTTCGGAATACAGAGACCAACCACTTGTGGTCTGAACGTAAGAATATAAAAATATTAATTAAACTCTAACTAAACTAACTTTGGATTAATAAACAATTGCCTACTTGAAGACTGGCCGTATATTAACAGAAAGGCCGTATGTAGTACAGAGAACTGTTAACACTACAATACGTTTAAAATTTTCAAGAGTATTAAACGTCTGGCCTTGAAGGCAACCAGCAACAGAGTAAAACTGCTATGGCAAGCGGCCTGCTCCTACTCCTTCCTCTCTCCTGCTTCTACTCGCCGCTTGGCATAAACGGCATTGCGATCTTTGAAAGACAACGAAAAATTACTGAATCTGAACGAAACATTTCGAGTCTTGATGCAATAATTGAATTTCTGAAAAGCGAAGTTCAGTCAGAAGAAAAAATAAAATTAAGCAGAGCGGATATTTTTTCTAAGTCTGATCGTAAGCACTTGGCAACTAGCCAAAATATTCCTTCCGCGTCGGATTTGATGAATCATGAAGCAATACCTTCTTGTTCGTTTTGTTTAAAAGATCATGAAACGCGTAATTGTAAAAAGGCGTTTTATATTCCGTTAGATGAAAAAATGTCTGCGGTAAAAAAGAAAGGTTTATGCAGAATATGCTTGGTTAAAGGTCACCTCAGTAACCAGTGTCGATCAAGTGTTAAGTGTCAGATTTGTTCAAAAAGGCATTTGAAATTTTTTTTGTCCTAGTCTTGAATGTAATAAGTCTAGTGAAATGCATAACCAGGAAAATGATGAGAAAAAAGAGAAAACAATCGATTCTTTGCATTCGCGTGCTACGAATGAAGTTTTCCTTCAGACCCTAGTTGTGAACATAGAGGGTAAGAATAAAAGGCGTAAAGTTAGATTAATGATTGATACGGGTAGCTCAAAAAGTTATGTTTTAAAGTCTACTGCAGAAGAAATGGGTTTTGACTTGCAATGGGAGGAAGAATTTAGTCACTCTTTATTTGGTGGAAAGAAAACTGAAATTTATAAACATCAATGTTACAAGATTTATTTGAGTAGCCTTGATGGTAAATATTCGTGTAAATTAGATGCTGTAGACCATGATGTTATTTGTAATGATATTTCAAGCATAAGATACGGTTCTTGGATTCGCGAATTAGGAAATAAGGGAATACGCTTAACTGATACCCAAGGGAATCCAGGCCCTATTGAAGTACTGTTAGGGGCAGACGTTGCAGGGAAGTTATTTACTGGCAAACGAGAAGAACTAAGAACAGGTTTAGTGGCTATAGAAACAAAATTGGGTTGGACTTTGATGGGTAAAGTACCTCAATCCGAACATCAGCACAATGTAAATATGACTATAGTTTCTATGTTATCTCAAGAAGACCTGCCTATTTCATCGTTGTGGGACTTAGAATTATTGGGTATCCGAGATCCTGTTGAACAAAAAACTAAAGAAGAGTCAAGAAGAGCTATTATGGTTCATTTCCAAGAAACAGTTCGTCAATTAGAAAATGGTAGATACGAGGTTGATATGCCTTGGAAGATTGAGCATGCAGTCTTACCTGACAATTATGACCTATCTTTGAAAAGACTCGAATCTACTACGAAGAAGTTGGAAAAAATCGGATATCGTGAAAGGTATCATGAAGTCTTTAATGAATGGCTGCAGGAAGGAGTGATTGAAGAAGTTCCCCAAAAGGAGTTGTCTTTACCCGTTGTTCATTACCTCCCACATCGTCCAGTCATTAAGGAAACGTCCTCACTATCTTCCATGAAAATTAGACCCCTTTTTTGATGCTTCGGCAAAGCTTTCTAATCAGCCATCTCTAAATGATTGCTTAGAGACTGGAATTAATTTGATTGAAACTATTCCGTCTATTCTAGCAAGATTTCGCTTACATGAAATTGGTGTGATTTCAGACATCAGAAGAGCTTTTTTACAGATATCTCTAAATGAAAGAGATCGAGATTTTTTACGATTTCTTTGGTATGGTGATGATGGTAGAGTGAAGACATTTCGTCACACCCGTGTGGTATTTGGCATTACTTGTAGTCCATTTTTGCTGATGGCGGTTATTGACCATCATTTATCCAAAAGAACGTGGAAAGAAAAATATTCTGAAGAGAATTTCTTAAAAAATTACAAGATAGTTTTTATGTCGATAATTGCGTAACTAGTGTACAAAATAATGACGAACTAGAAATATTCATCGAATCTGCAACTAATGTAATGAAAGAAGGAATGTTTGATCTCAGAGGATGGGAAAGTTCTGGCATTCCTGCATTTTCAGAAAGTAAAACATCACCGGTATTAGGACTGGTTTGGGACAAAGATTTAGATACCTTAGAAATAGACACCGAATTTTTGAAATTTGATGAAAGAGAAAAAGGTAACTAAAAGGAAAATGCTTTCACTAGTTAGTCGAGTATTTGATCCCATAGGTTTCCTTGCACCTGTTATGATTCAGCCTAAGATTTTGCTGCAGGCCGCTTGGAAGAGCAAAGAATCATGGGATGATGATGATGAAGTGAATGATGAAATAAAGAAGAATTTTTTAAAATGGGGAAAACAACTGAAATACCTTCAAAAATATAAAAATTCCAAGATGGTTAGGTGTGATGAAGGAATCCAATTTAAGTATCCATACTTTTGTCGATGCCAGCAAGACAGCTTATGCGGCATGCATTTTCTTAAGAAGTGAATCCAGTATGGGTTCAGTGACTGTTCAATTACTTCAAGCCAAATCACGAATAACTCCAACGAAGACTATTACTATACCACGACTTGAACTAATGGCTGCTACCATAGGTGCTAGGCTGTTTAGTTCTGTGAAGCAAGCTCTAAAACTTCCCAACATCAAGACTTACTTTTGGACAGATTCTTCCACAGTTCTTGTGTGGATAACTCGTCGAGAACAGTGGTCGGTATTCGTTACAAACAGAATAAGTGAAATTAGAAAATTGACAATTTCGGAAGATTGGTTCCATATGGCAACTGACCAGAATCCAGCAGACATTTTATCAAGAGATCGTGGACCTAAGGAACTTCAGAAACGCAAGTGGTGGCAAGGGCCAGCCTGATTGAAGAATTCGAAGGAGCAGTGGCCAAAGTTAGCTGTAAATATTAACAAGAAAGAAGTAGAGATGGAGAAACGAAAGTCAGTCATCTCTGCTAGTAACACAGAGCTAGAGTCAATTTCATTGCAGTTAGCCAGAAGAGAACGAATTTCTGTGATGTATTCAGACAATGGTGCTAATTTTACAGGATTAAACAACGCTCTGAAACAATTAGATTGGACTACAATTGAAAGAGAATTTAGAGTCAACGAAATTCGTTGGAAGTTTAACCCACCCTCCTCTTCATGGTGGGGAGGCTTCTGGGAACGCTTGATTGGGATTTTGAAAGATCTTTTTAAAAAAAATCTTGGACGCTCCTGTTTGTCTTACGAGGAATTGCAGACTATCGTCTGTGAATGCGAATCTATCATGAACAGCAGACCGTTAACTTACATATCCGAGGAACAAGATCTGAAGACCTGGACCCCCTCAATGTTTCTTCAGGACATTCCATTAAATGATGTTCCTGATTTGGATCAAATTGAAAGGACTAATATTGCTTTGAGATGCAGACATATTCAAAAGGTTCGTGAAAATCTAAAACGAAGGTTTAAAAGGAAGTATCTGGGTTTCCTTCGTTCTTCAGTTAACAAAAAGAGAAGATAAAATAAATGTAGGTGACATAGTGTTAATTGGTACAGATGATAAAAAAAGGCTCCATTGGCTGCTAGGGAGAGTACTGGAACTCTTTCCAGGAAAAGATGGAATCATCAGACTTGTGAAACTGCGAACTGAAAAGGGAAACATATTAAGACCAATCCAACGACTGTATCCTTTGGAATTGACACCAAATTACGAGCAAGTCGTATCGGAACCTCAGAAGGTTCCAGAAGTGGTAGCTGAAAATCCTGAGCTTAATACTGACTCTAATGAAACTGTTCGCGTGTCTCGCTCAGGACGAAAAATAAAACCAGTTAAAAGACTGGATTTATAAACTTCTAAACAAACTTTTGAACTTTCTGTGTTTGAACTCTAAAATATTGATTTCAATTTGCATTCTAATATTTTGAAATATTTCTATTATTATTTGTACATTATTGTTATCTGAAATTGTATGTATGTATTATCATTATGTTACTGTTTTGAGTTTGTATCCCCAAACTCAAGGTGGGGAGAATGTCGCGCCACGATCAAACTCCATGAGAGGTAAGTTTCTCTGTTACGGAATGGCAACGAGAGAGAGATTGTTGTTCAAAAAGATGGATGATCGAACTGCGTTGTAACGATCATTTTTGTGGATGTTGCGTATTGTAAAATGAACCTATTACACTGTGCTAAATAGTATTAAAATGCTATATATTAAAAGATCTTTCATCTGATCTAAATTTAACAAACCGCTCATTATTTTCTCTTAAACTCACAATGTTCACGACACCTCAGCTTTTCTATATGGTTTCAGGAAACCATATCTAACCCCATATGGTTTCAGGAAAATGGCTTTCATTTTGTCCCAAATGGTAATCTAGAACGGCAGCTAGCAAGAAAGGGCTGCTCGTAAGTCCAAACACTACTCGTTGGTGACGATAAATTTTTTGTTTTCTTTCCTTATAATCTTCCCACCATATGAATGTAAGAAAATTTTGGTTTTCTTTGGCCACAGATATCTGTAAAAAGGCCTTTTTTATATCTGAAACTACTTCATCAGAACTGCATAAGTTAGACGAACTAACATCAGATGACAACGTCTTCTCAAGTTCTTGTACGTCACCTTTCACCTTATTTCCAGGGACTTCTGGGCACATCAAAATCGAATGTTTTTTATTGCAAAGAACACATTTGATGTTCAACTTGCAAAATTCAGAACGATGTCCAATTTTTAAACAGACAAAACAGGCCTTTTTGTTTTTTAAAATTTCTTGTTTTTTTTTTTTAAACTTGAGTTTACGTGCAGCAATCTTTACTTTCGTGGATTTGTCACAAAATATACAAACATTTTTTTCTTTTATTCTCTGTTGTTCCCGCAAACAAATCTGCTGGCATCGGTGGATTACTAGGAACAGAACGCTGTATTTTTTCCTTCTAAAATCTGTGTTCTTTACTAACAAATCCCTTTGCTAAACGAATGCGTTCTTTCACTTCAACTTCAGCTTTCAGGAACAATAATAAATTTCTTAATTTCTCCCCATACGCATTTTCTTCAGAAGAATCGAATATGCTGTTAACTATAGGGTTTCTTAACCAAACTCTAAAAATGTCTTCCGAAATACAAATTCTGCAAGAGGGAAAAGTATAGCTGAATATGTATCGGATATTAAGCGTATGGACTCCAAGGCTCTTAGATGTGATTCTAATTTATCATACTGGGTGTCCGTAAAAGAATGTTCGAGTTTTAATGGTATATAACAGAAGTTTATTTTATACTAAATATAACAAATCATAATATGAAACTGAAGGAAAATTAACCTAGTTTTTTCTATAAGTGCTCAGTGATACGGCACACATCCAAATGAAAATGCAATTCTTCCCATACTGTCTGCAGCAAGTCCAGAGTAACGGAAGCAACAGCCTGTGCCATTCTGCCTTTCAAGGTTGGTAAATCGTGGGGTAGGGGTGGAACGTAGACCCGATCTTTTACGAAGCCCCAAAGAAAGAAATCACAAGGCGTGATGTCAGGTGAACGAGGCGGCCAGGGTAACAGAACTCTGTCGTCTGGACCGTGACTCCCAATCCAACGGTCAGGGACTTCAAAGTTTAACCAGTCTCGCACAAAGAGACTCCAATGAGGAGGGGCTTCATCTTGTTGCCAAATAAAGTTTGCAGGTTCACTTTCTACTAATTGGGGAAAGAGCCATTGTTGTAGCATATGCAGATAAGAAACCCCTGTTACTGTAGCTTCAGCGAAAAAAAATGGACCTTATACTTGTCGTAGTGAAACAGCACAGAAAACGTTTATTTTTGGAGAATCTCTTTCGTGTTGTACAAGTTGATGAGGATTTTCTGAACCCTATATACGAACAATATGGGTATTTAACTTCCCACTTGTATGAAACGTCGACTCATCACTGAACACCACATGGTGCAGAAAGTCATTGTGCCGTTGAAGAACTTCACATGCAAAACGAAATCGTACTGCACAATCATTCGGCTTTAATTGCTGTACCAACTGTAATCGGTATGGACGCAAGTGTAAATGTTTTTTTAAAATCGTCCAGACTGTCGTCTTTGGCAACTGTAGTTCATGACTTGCTTTTCGAACAGATTTCTGCGGACTACGACGGAAAGATTCCGACACGTTCCACATTCTCTACAGAAACTTTGGGTCTTTCCGGGCTTTTACCTTTACACAGACATCCAATCGTTTCGAATTGTCGATACTATCGGCGGATATTTCTGTCACATGGGGTCACATTTAAACTTTAATCGGAACGCACGTTGAACGGCAATTACCGAATCACTCTTAGCAAATTGTACAACACAAAACGTTTTACGCTCAGAAGTCTCCATTTTGAATAGATGACGCTGCAACTGTGAAAACGATGTAGCGGTACAAGCGCATGCGCTTATCTAAAACTGTTGAAGTTATTCTTTATTCGTCACCTTCAACCACTACTGTCGAACTATTACAGCTGATGCTATTACAATTTGAAACTCGGACATTCTTTTAAGGACACCCTGTATAATTTCGACGTGTCTAACTTTCTTTTTTCTTCGGTAACATTTTTTACAACAAGATTGTAC